AAGGTTAAACTAGTTACTGATCTAAAGTATAACAGTAGAAGATTCACCCAGCATTGCTTGGGTCCTTAATTTTTTTTTATTTTTCATGTAAATCATTGCTCTGGGGTGGGATTGGTAATGAAGGATTCAATATGCAGGCTTCCTCCGGGAAAGAGGACTCTCAGCCCTCTCTCAGCACAGCAGCTTGGAAATAGGAGAGAGGCCTCTCTCCACAGCTGCTGCTGCTCCAGTGGGCACAGCTGGGGTGGGAATGCATGTCCCAGGGCTGGGGTAGGCCCAAATTCATCTTTTCTGTTCACTCCCCAACCAGATTGAGGAATGAAATTAACTGTTTACTTTCCCCTCACTCCCTGACCAAGTGAAACAGCCAGCATGTTCCCAACGTTCCCATATGAGCTGCAGCCCTCCCATCTTCCCGAAAGGCACCCAAGGGGTGGAAGACTCAGGGTTGGAGCAGTCCCAGACAGGGATGGGGGGAGTGGCACTCCCAACCAGACCCTTTCACCTGGCTGGTTATTCTGTCTTTTTTCGGTGTGGTTTTATGAATACCCCTATGTGGGGGTGAGGGGAAGGAGCGCTTTGGCCTCCCCTCCCCCCCACAACCAAACCTTTACCTTACTTTAATGGGGAGGCATGGGCATCTGGTGGCTTAGGTGGGGGAAGGCTTTGCCTTCCCAAACCGCCAGGCACGGCCACCCCCAGAATAACTGCTGTAGACATCAGAGTTTTTGACTCAAGTCCCACGACTTGAACTCGAGTCCGACTTAAGTCGCCTAGGTGACTCGACTTGAGATTCGACTCGGGTTCATTGTTTGTGACTTGAGACTTGCTAATTTTGTTAAATCGCCTTGGTGAAAAAATTGTCTGAAAATGCCGATATTGATGGCTTGTACAAAAGTGACTTGACATTTTTTAAATTAAGACTTGAGACTCAACTTGGGACTTGACTCAAAAGTGACATTAGAGACTCGACTTGAGACTTGAACTGTAGTTACTTGGGTACTGCTGGGGCATGTGATGTGAACACTGATATATGTTCTTCCAGAAAACATAGTGATGGCCTAAGTCTTAAATGCCTGTTTTGTTTTGGATTTTACCAAAAATATTTAGCAATGACTGGATGACTAAAATAGTGAACAACAACATAAAAGGGGTAGAATCTGGGGATAAAATAGGAAGAGAACAAGTTAGATGTCTTCAAGATAACAGGATCTAATAAAATATACCCTAGAATACTTAAGGATCTGGCTGATGAGATTTCTAAGCCACTAGTGATTATTTTTGAGATACCAAAGGACCAGAAAGGGTAAATACAGTACGTAACTATAAAAAGGGGAGTAAGGTGAACCCAAGGAATTATAGCCCAGCCATCTGAATTTCAGTACCCAGAAAAATAACGGAGTAAACAAACAATCAACTTATACTTACTCAGAAGAAAATAAGTAACAGCTAAAAATTGATTTGTCAAAAAACAAAACAAAAAACCAATAACTTTATTTGGCAGGATAACAAGCCTTGTGAATAGGGGTAGAGGGAGCAGTAGATGTCAGATATCTCACTTTTAGTAAGGCTATCTCACAAGACCTTCTCCATAAGCAGACTACAGAAATATAACCTAGACAAACCTACTATAAGGTGGGTGCACTATTGACTGGAAAGCTAATCTCAGAATAGTTATCAATGGTTCATAATCAAGCTGGCAGAGCATATTGACTAAGGTCTCAGAAGGATCTTTCCTGAGTTCAGTTTTATTCAACATCTTCATAGATAATTTTGTTAATGGCATAGAGAGTACATCTGTAAAGTTCGTAGATGGTATCACTCTGGAAGGGATTAAAATTCAAAATGATCTTGACAAACTAGAGAAATGGTCTGAATTAAACAGGCTGAAATTTAAAAAGGACAAATGCAAAGTACTATACATAGGAAGGAAAATTCAAATGCACATAATACAAAACTGGAAGTTATTGCCTGGGACAAAATACGGTAGAAACAAAATCTGGGGTTATAATAGATACCAAATTAAATAAGAGTCAACAATATAACACTGTCACCAAAACAAAACAAAACAACAAAACAGCCAAACCCAAAGAGCATTCCAGGATGTATTAGCAGAAGCAAGACACAAGAGGCCTCATCTACGGTAATGTCACCAGTTCTGGGCACCACACTAGAGGAAAGTTGTGAACAAACTGGAGAAAGTCCAGAAGAGAGCAATACAAATGGTTAAAGGTCTAGAAAACATGACCCATGAGGGAAGATTGAAAAAAAAAAGCGGGGTTGTTTAATCTGGAGAAGAGAAGAATAAAAGGGAGACACAGTAACTGTATTCAAATACATAAAATGATGTTACAAGGAGGAGGGTGATCAATTGTTCTCTTTCATTTGTGAGCACAGCACAAATAGTAATGGGTTTAAATTGCAGTAAGGAAGATTTAGGTTAGATGTTAATTGCCCTTACAGTTGAGAAGTTTTTCTTAAGCATTGGAACATATTACCTAGGGAGACTGTGGCATCTCTTGTCACAGGAAGTTTTTCAGTATAGGTTAGACCTGTGGTCACCAACCCGTCGATCGTGATCGACTGGTCAATCGGGGGGCACGACCAGTTGATTATGAAAGGTTCAGGCCCTCCCCCATTTTCTCCAACCCCGAAGAAGCAGCCCCCACTGACGTTACCTCTAGCGACAATGGAGGTAGCGCCGGCTTCCTGCAGCATGGGGGGGGAAGAGGGAGTAGAAGTTCCGGGACCATGCCAGCTCCAACCGCTCAGGAAGCGCATGGCTGTTGTGGGGAGTGGAGGAACAGGGCACGTACTTCCTGAGCAGTTGGAGCTGGCGCAGTCCTGGGACTCTACTCCCCTGACCCCAGGAAGGCAGCAAGGGGAAGGAAGTTGACTGCACATGACAGACCCGGCTTTTCAGGAAGTGCATCGGCTGTCTGGGGGAGCGGAAGAGCAGCCCGCATGCTTCCTGAGACCTGGAGTGCAGCTGAAGGATCCCCAGGTACCAGCTCCAGGAAGGCAGCAAGGGGAAGGAAGTTGACTGCACATGACAGACCCGGCTTTTCAGGAAGTGCATCGGCTGTCTGGGGGAGCGGAGGAGCCACCCATGTGCTTCCTGAGATGCTGGATCTGGTGCACAGCCCCCCCATGAGTACCCTGCCCCCACCCTCACCCTGCCCCGTGCTCTAGCACCATACCCCAGCACCTTGCCTCCTGCCCAGACTCCTACCAGCACCTGACCCCTGGCCAGAACACCCGCCCCCCCCCCACGCCACCCCGC